TTAGGTAAAGTTTTAGATTTACGTGATTTTGCCCTACTTTAGACATTTTGGTCCAATAATAAGGAATAGCATCAGCTCATCTAGTTTGAGTAACATATTACTCTCTGTGAATGTTCCGACTTCATAACTTTCTATTATGATGAGAATAAAAATTGTTATTGTACCGTTAAGTAATAATATATTAAATGCATTGAAGCGACAACAAAAAGCACCAAAGCGATAGTCACGTTAACTTTAAGACATCATGTGTTGATATCAATATTGTTTGCGTGAAGCATGTGAAATCGCCCAAAATCGGTTTACCCGTTTTCTTGATTTCATCATCAACAACCAAATATGTGAAAAACTGCAGAGAAAGTGCAACGTACACTGTACTTACCGAATTGGACTTCAAGGTCTTATTCACTGGTCCTCTTTTAGTGAGGATTGTAACCGAGTCTGGGTCGGTGTCGGACACAGGACATCCCATCTTAGACATGATTCCTAATAAATCAGAAGCTAAAAAGGAATTCATGAGAAAAATGCACTTGATTGGAGAAGGGTAGAAATTTTGGAGAAGAATCTGAAGTAACACATCTCAGACCAAAATTTACTTGTATGAAAAGGTCGCAAAAAGTCGCACTTTAATTCATGGAAAAAGATGCATCACGCAATATAGCATCACCCCAACGATACCGAAAAAATGTAAAAAGTTTGCAAGAGATGTTCAAGATACGAGAGCAAGATTTGAGAACTACGATAAGCTATAAATCCTACTAGTTTACCTGAAAAAAAGAAAAAAATAAGACAAATAATCATGAAAATGGAAAATTAGCGACAGAGATATACCAAGCGCATCGGTCGCTACTAACAAATGTAAGCGACAACTGATCAGGAAGGTCACCCAAATTTTTTGGACAAACAAAATTATTGAAGATGTATCAAGGACTTAGTACTACTACCGTACCCATTCAGAACAATCCTAAAAACCAAGGAACCAAAAGGAAGTCACGAAAGAAGGAGAAAAGTAGTCAGCACAGGACAGCCAGCTGCAGGTCACTGGACGACGGATCCAAGTGCGTGGTTGACGCACAGCGTGCGGCCGTAGAGCGCCACCACTCGCTTCCACGTTCGTTCAAGTCGAACATCAATCATCGTGTTGAATGTGGCTAAGGAACTCGTCCATCTCTTCGATGCTGCTTTTGGCTCCAATTATCGAATTAAGAGGATACGTCCTTGCTTTCACGTGTATATCAGAAATGTTACTTCTCGCTCTTCCTTTTTATCGATATGTGCCAGCCCTTCTTCGTGTCAGTCTTTCACTATGTGCTCGGCGCTATGTTCCCATAAAAAGGTTTAAGAAGAAATCAAATATGCGCAACTGGATGAGAAGTTGGTGCTTTTAAAATGACATGCAAATCAATGTATATTGAGCAGTATAATATCTAAGGAGCATCACTGTTATATAATCTTCATATAATCGATCCAGTTCCCGCCACTGCTCCGCGAGTCCTTAAAGGTGGACGTGTGCAGTTACAAGAGAATTAGATGGTGCAGCGCATTTAGAAGTTGTAGCACTAGCATTGTATCGACGATAGCGAGGTAGTCACTGAATAAGCAAGCAGAAATATCTACAGACTAAATCGCAGTTCAGAAGTGTTAGTACTTGGAGCATCGTGATTTATTTAAATGGTTAACATGCCATTAGAGCAGACGAAGGTGTACTTGCCAAACATCATAAAAGTTATATAGTTTTGATCATCTTGCTTTTGAAGAAAACACTTTGAATCTGAGTAGTTTTGAATAATTCTAGAATGTGCGAATCCAAGTGCTGTATTCAATGCCTTTTCCAGTATTTGACAGTGGACATTCATTTTGTATGCCTTTTTGATGAGCCACTTGGCTAATCTAATGTGGAACACCCTTGCGCTGCAAGTTTCACAGCGTCACTACTTTTGAATACTGTTTGAAAGATTTCATCGTAATTCCGTCGTTGTCAGCATTCCTATTCTCCTTCCTTGGATTGGCTCTATAGTGCATATCGTCTATATCTTTCTATAATTATTGTATCTTTACATCTGATTAGAGTCGTCGTTACTTCGAATCTTCATTTCGAAACGTCAGAATCGATCTAGAGTTCCTATTATTCACTCATAACCACATCTTACTACTTCAAAAGGTAAACGGCATGGCCGTCGACACATTGGTGGAATCGGTCACCACCTACTGCAATCGGCCGCTTTGGCTCCATCTGTACGCGTCCCCTTTCGTCGGTGAGGATTTTCCATATTTTTATACCCTCTATTTGCTTGTAGCTTTAGCTTCTCTCGTTCATTTACTGTTAGTCTAGAAGAACTGCACTGAACACTGTTTTAGTGTTGTATGCTACATGGTTCTATCTATGGTCATCGTTTTATGGCTATGAAGAGTATTATGAGCTCGGATTTATCGGTGCTGCTATCATAGGCCTAGTTCAAGCGCTTGTAATTTTGTTCTGTCACTGGTTTGTTGGCGTAAAATGCGCCCTGTCTTGTGTACATGTGAGTAGTTTATTCCGCTGCTCATGAATCAATCCAAAACATACAGTTGTCTCTTTTCCAGGAAAATGATCCTCATAAAGCCACGTTGGCCAAGGTAGTGCCTACTCCCAATAACGGATGGGCAGAGCTTGTACCTTTGCGAAGAACACGAGTAAATTTCCTTGTGTTTTATTTTCACTTTGATTTTTTAAAAACTCGTTTTAGAGAGCCGGATGTACCAAAGTTTGGTTCGAATTTCAAAAAATCCATTACACTTTGGACGAGACGACCAACACGTTCAGCACTGTTGTTTTCGATTCTCATAAGCCAATGAGATACTACCAGCAGTCTCGCGGTGTAGAGAGTGATGAACAGTTGGAAGAGATCAAATATCTTTTTGGAGATAACAAGTTGGTTTCCTTTCTCCATTTAATCTCGATGTTTACGTTATTTACAAGTGCTCATTAACGGATGTCTTACTTAATGCTTTTCTTTTCAAAGTTGTGTTGTTCAAAGAAAATTTAAAAAACTTGCAACAGAATTCATTTTGTTTTTTTAATATAGAACGGAGATGGTTATACCGCAATTTTGGGACTTGTTCAAGGAAAGGGCGACTGCGCCATTCTTCGTATTCCAGGTATCATATTTCCTTCATTCTTCATTTCCAATTTGTGCTTCACTTCATTGCTCCAAATTTTACTCAGTTTATCTTTTTTTAAACAGGTCTTCTGTGTGGGACTATGGTGTTTAGAAGATATGTGGTACTACTCATTGTTCACTTTATTCATGCTGATGACCTTTGAAGCAACATTGGTGAAGGCACAGTTAAAGAACATGCAAGAGATTCGCAATATGGGAAACAAATCTTTTATGATACAGGTTAAACTGCTTCTAAAAATTTTCCTTATAGTGCCACTATGCATTCGGTTCAGGTTTATAGAAATCATAAATGGGTAAAAATCAAGACCGATGAGTTGGTTTCTGGAGATATTGTATCTATAGGTAAGCAGGATGAATCTTTTCTCACTGTTTTTTCAACAGAAAGATTGAAGGACGTTCGTCGGATGAGCAAGCTGTACCTTGTGACATGATCTTGTTGCGCGGACCATGTATAGTTGACGAATCAATGCTTACTGGAGAATCAGTACCTCAGATGAAAGTTTGTTTGTTTTCTTTTTT